CTTTATGATTATAATTTGAAACTATTGACTATTTTTTGGTAGGCTTGTAAAGCAGTTAAAAATACACGTAATACATGATTTTGGAAGTTGTATGACCATTTAATAAAGCTCTCGCCAAGTTTTTCTTCATATAAATTATTTTTCAATGAAAAATCTGCATGTTTTAACCAATAATATTTGTTTTGATTTTAGACGAAACAATTCTGGATTATGTAACTTTAGAAATTTTGGAGCTATTTTATAAATTTAAATTAAAAAGATAGCGAGTTTTATTTAGTAAATTTTAGAGTACAAATCTACATGTAAAATATTGTGCAGATTATGGACACTAATGGATTTTACTATGATGCCGGAATTTTACTATGTAGATCTTTTCCTTCACTGATGGATCACGAATTAGTAATTTAATAGTCACGGGAGACCCATAGATTACTAATTCATAATTTTTTATTATAATTTAACCTTTCTATAAAATTTAAAATTTAAAGTTGAATGAATGAATACATGCTTTATTGATCGATATTACACGGAAATCGTAAAACAATTTTCAGGTATATTTTCCGTGTAACCAATTTAAAAAAATTTATTTTATATATTACTCGAAACCCGTTTTTCCTAGAGCGCCCCCACATGACATAAGAACAGCCATCCAACTTCATGATGTCAATGAATTAACACACATTCAAAAATGTATATGCATCAATTGATAGTAATTGTTTCAATCTTTGAAACATAAAAAAATTGTATTACTCTGAAAATATTTAATGCAAATAATATTTAATTTTTAATTTTTTAATTATTAAATAAAAATGGAAATAAAAATCTTGTATCATATTATGAATTGATGATTATGAATTGCAAATTCGTACTCTCTATAACGGTCTTTTTTACCAAAACAGAAGGACTGTTATAGAGAGTGACTGTTTCAAAATCTTTTTATTATAATTAATGATAAAAAAAACGTATGATATTCGACTAAAATCTTGACAATTAAAAAAAAAGACTTGAATGACTATAACCATTAGTATTTGATATTTGATTTAGTTCACATTCAGCACTAAATCCAAACATACCAATCATCGTCATTACCTTTAAATAATACTAATGTTAATAGGTTCTAACCTTTTTTCGAAAAAAATAAGATACAAAAAAATTTACTAATATATGTGGACCTCAATATGTGAAAAGAAACCCTATATTCAATATAATCAACCGATTGGCTTTTTGGTCCTTTTTTCAAACCTTAACTCGACGTTAAACACGAGTATTTTAATATGTAAATTATGATAATTAACCCTAAAAAACTATTTTACTATTCAACAACTCGTCAAACCAATTGCCTACCTCAAAACCAATGAAGTTTTGCTATTATAAAGTATTCATGACGTTATGGCATACCGTACTGAATTTTGGGGTTCAAACAAAATCAGCGCATATGTGTGCCCAGTTCGACTAGAGCGTGTATTTGATCCCAAGTTTACCAGATACAAAATATTCAATAAAATTGGTTATTTCTATTATAAGTATTCGAACGAGGTTTTTTAAATAATGTCACATAACGAAAGTACGTAAAACTTATATCATTATATGGCTTAGGTTTCGACGACTCTACATATAAATTTCGGGGGGGGGGGGTTGCCATTATTTTGACTTTTAGCTTAAAAAAACGAACATCGTTAAAAATTTTATTTTAATATTCTGTTGGCCCATAACGTTTGATAGTATGTATACCTCAAATCCTTCTTGACTGTTTTTAGCATCTTCAAAAAATAATATCTATATATAAATATAATCAAATAATTGTAAACATTAATCAAATATATAAACATATACATATACATTAATTAATTGACTTACTACTTAACCAATTCTGTAGCCTTCTTTGGTCTTGCACGGATTTATCATCATTATGTAAAACAAGCATTCCACCTGTTCTTTATAATTGTTTCAAAGTTCAATCCTTTGATATGATATATACTTGTTCTCCTCTAATGGATGACGATAATAATTAAACGCATAGGATATCTGTATTCGTATCTGGATCCAAGTTCTAATAGATAATGACTAAATTTTGGGCCCTGAAATTCTTGATAGCACAAATGTTCATTTTGTTGCAGCATGCCCCATATATCGAATCAATTGACTCAGGAACTTTTTCTTTCTCTCTCTTTCAATGGATGCTCCAAGTCCAAAGTATTCTTTGGGTGTTTTTCTCATGAAATTTGATCATGTGCTGTGCTTTGAAGATTTTGAGTAAGGCTCCGAACGAATCGAATCAAGTCGGATTTTAAATTAGTGGATCTTTGGTGTTACTATATGGATGCGTTTCGCAGTTTATTTATTTTTTACTAATAACAGATAAACCAGTAGTTTCATAAGGCGTGATAGATATGTGTGACTAGGAGTTATCCTATCTATCTACACTACTAAAAAGCCTTACCTAAAATAACAATCATAATAAATTTACATTGGTTAAAGATAGCGACGATCATCATTATCCATTGTATCGAGATATTAATATTAAATATTTATCATAAACGGATGGACGTGTTAATATTAATATTAATATATGAAAGCTCCGTCAAGTCCGTTAAATCAGGATAATAATAATAGATAGACTGGGCTTTGAAATCAAGACCCACTAAATCGAGACGCACAGCGTATTTTCCCGCGAGTGACGCTATTAACATTTTCTAATTGTAAATTTTGGATTGAAAATATAAGACAAGACGGATAAAATATAAAAACCTATTATTATTACTATTATTATTATTATTATTATTATTATTATTATTATTATTATTATTATTATTATTATTATTATTTTTATTTTTATTTTTATTTTTATTTTTATTATTTATTAATTATTAATTGTTATTATTATTATTATTATTATTATTATTATTGAGTTTATTGAGTTTATACAATCAACTCAAATAAATAATAATAATAAACAAATATTGTTAAATAGCATTTAATAATAATAATTTTTTTTATATCGTTTAGAAGTTTCTTTTCAGCTAGTTAAATCTTTTTTTAATTTGTTAGAGTGGAAGGGATATTGGCAAGTTCAATTTCATTATTTTCAGTATACAATTAAAGATTTCTTAACATGTCTTTAGCAGTTTTTTTTTCTTTCTACATTACCAGTTAGAAACGTTTCTTTCAACTTTCCAACCATATCTAATTCTTTTGCCACTGTCTTTTTACCCCAAATATTTGTTTGCTTTTCAAAGTAAATCCAGGTTTAATGGAGTTGGGGATATCCCGGAACTTTGAGATATTAAATTATGTCGCACGTATAAAAAGAAGATTCTTTCGGTTTTATGTATAACCGCCCCGTTCTTATCTTTTATTATGTAAACAGGGTTTTAAAAAAAATCAAATTCCTTCCTACAGTAGTTTTGATAAATTAGTACTAGTTTATTTCTAAATTAAAATTTTAAAAGTGCTTCTTCATAAATTGATTTTTTATAATAATAAATAATTTTTGTAACGTAAATTTCGGGATCAAATTTAATTGGATGAGCATTTTATATAAATTTTGTCAATATAAAAAAATACTATACCAAAATTCCCTTCGACTATTTTAAGGCGGGAATTTGCTATATTAATATTGTTGCATCATCCATTGTGTATCAATTAGTAAAATCCGCATGGTATATTTATTATTATTGTTATTGTAGCAACTTGTTTCTTTGACAATTTTAAACCTCATGTAAAATTAAATTAAAATTTAAAAATATTAATATGGGAATCAAAAAAAAATAAATAAGTAAGTCTGCGTTTATAAATAAAAAACTCGTATCTCGCATTTTATTTATTATGTATTTGTGTAATAAATAATAAATAAATACATGAAGAAATTTAATTTTTAAAATATTTTTAATTCGAAAGGAGAAAATAATGCTAATTCCATGAACACTTTCTCTAAAGGAAAAAATAAATTTTTTTAAAAATAAAAGCTTACACTCTTTTTACATCTTTTTTTCCTTTTCTTATCTCCTTCTCTCCATCTTTAATTAACACGATAATCATAAAAATAATAACATTGTTTATAACAAATAACAACCAATTAATCTAATGTCTACTGCATCCTCGCATTCTTCCTATTCCTCGCCCTATTGGAGTGAGCGTGGTGAACATCGTACAAGTGGAGATAGTGAAATATCATCAGTCTCTGTTATTCATTCCCCAGTATGCATAATTCTTATCATTACCAATTTTCATTACAAGTCCTGCTTGACTGATAACAATTTAATAATAATAAATGTTGCATGTTCTCTCCCTTTTTCTCTACTAGACACGTTTACCAATAGCTTCGAAATTTTCACCAACATCAAGCTCGTTTTCATTTAATAAAAATAATGAATATACTACGGAACATTTAGATACAGATGCAAATTGGTATAGAAAATATTTTTACGGAAAAGGTAATTAATTAATTAATTAATTAATTAATTATCAATTATGGTTATTTTCTAAAATAAAAAAAATTTTTTATCAATTAATTGCGCATTTATTATATTTTTTTTTCACTTTTTTTTTTTAGATCATACAACATATGTGGGCCATGTAGAGCCATACGGACCAATTATAGTATCATTGATATTGGATAGTGTTACAATGAATCATAATAATGTTGAGATATATTGGTATAGATATATATTTAGGACAAAGGAAGTGAGTTATCATAATCAACATAGATTATCATTATAACAATAACAATTATTATTTCACTTATTAAACAATTAATTTAATCTGTAGTTACCGGATGAAAGAGGAATATTATCAGGCCCCGTGATGCCTCCTTTTGGTGATCCACCATGGGATGATTTATTAAAAATGATCTCTAAGGATATTTGCAATAGACGTTTAACAAAATTTATAACAACACCAAAATTGGGCATAGAAATATTAAATTTTGATGAAACAAGGGTAATTATTTGTAGTTATTTACTTGAAAAAAAAAAATTTTTTTTAATAATTCAATAATCAATTAATTGTAATCAATTGTTTAAAGCTGCGTAAAAAATATAAAGTTGGAGTCTTATATTGTGCACCTAATCAAACATCAGAAGAAGAATGGTTTTCAAATACTACCACATCAAAATATTTTGATAATTTTCTTTCAATATTGGGTACAAAAGTTAGACTGCTTGGGTTTGAAGGCTTTGGAGGTGGGTTGGATACACGTACAGACGGAACTGGGGAATATTCACTTTACGATAATGGTACATGGAAAGATTTTGAAATAATGTATCATGTTAGCACAATGTTGCCATATGACAAAGTTGATAGACATCAAATAGTTAGAAAAAGACATATTGGGAATGGTAAATATTTTATTTATTGAATCAATTAATTACACATTCAAGATGCTTATAATAAATATTATATTGTGTATGTTCATTTCAATCAATAGATATTTCGTGTATTATATTTCAAGATACTTATAGACCATTTTCCCCTGTGTCTATAAGATCGAAATTTTTACATGTATTTGTAATAGTGAGTCCGGTTCAATTAGAGAACGGCAAAGTGGGTCACAGGTAATTATTTTTAATATTATATAGGACGTTAATATTTTATTTTAAATTTTAAATATTTATACTTTTTAATCGTAATTGTTTTATAGGGTTGAAATAGTTTCTAAAGATTCAGTTCCATATTTTGGGCCACCTTTACCTGATCCACCAATATTTGATGATACTTTACGATTAAAAAAATTTTTAATTGCTGCTGGTAATTAATCAAATAATATTTAATCAATCAATCAATCAATCAATCAATCAATCAATCAATTGTTTTATCTGTTTGTTTTAAGTTATAGTTACTTATCATTGATTTTTTTTTATTTAGTGATTAATGGACAAAATGCAGCCTGGAAAACTGCACAATTGGCAGAACCATTTTTGAGAGCCAGACGTGGTATAATAGAAAACATAACAAATAGATTAGTGCCAAACCCAAAAAATCGCATTGACAATAATGAAAGTAAAACATCGGCAGAAAATGTACATAAAAAGCCTACACAAGAAGAATTAGATCACGCGTTAAGACGTCTCTTTGTAGAACAATTAAAGTTGGGCGGACCACCACCCGATATTGTACAAGTTCAAACACTTTTGAAACAAGGCGCCAACCCAAATATAAAAATACCTCAACCTAAATCATCAAAACCAAAATCAAAACCATCAAATCAACTCGATTCTTCAAATTATCATCGACAACATCATCATAATGCCTCAAATTATTCAATTTTTCATCTTTCATCAAATTCAATATCATCACTAAATTCTCATAGCAGATCAGTCTCTTCTTCCACCGTCTCATCCACAATTTCCAATCCTTCATCGACGAATGGAGATTACGGCAATAACAATAATTATAACAATAACTATTATAATAACAATAATAGTGGTGGTAATATTGTTGGAAATAATAACAGTAATGGACACCAAAGTTTGCACAAATTACCAAATATATTATTTGCAACAATTGCAATGTGTGACGATCCCGTTTATATAAAGTATTTAATATGTTCAGGGACAGAAACTATGCCCAAGGATACACATTTTCCAAATGCATTTGTGTATGCTGCGCGTCTTAAGCGTGTAGCAACCATGACATGTTTATTGGAGAGCGTCCCCTCATTAAGTGATCCTGAATCAGTTGATGCTGCTATAAACGAAAGGATCATCGAACCATCAACTAAACCTTTTTATGGAATATGGTATGGTTTAACGGGCGAAGTTAAAAAATTAAGAGAACAAATCACAGGAAGATAATTCATTTTTGATAAGCGTCTGTCTGACCGTTAAAATATTTTATAACAATATCACAACACAATTACTTGATGTCATATAACAATCATTGATTTTTATAACCCATCCATCCCTAATTATCAATCATAATTAATTATTTTTTAAACTAATTTTTAATTCGAGCCATACATACATACATACATACATATAATATATATATATATATATAATTTTTTTGTAATATACATAATCAATTAATCGATCTTAATCTTTAATATTTCTGAATTAATAAAAACCCAAAACAATTTAATATTTAATATTCTCCCGTCACGATTGTACGATGTTACTATTACTATTTGTGTATGACAAAAAAAAAGTGTCTGGACCTTTTTAGTTCTCTTTTTTCTGCATTTTTATGGTGGTTCTAGACTCTTTTTATAGATGAATTTTTACATTTAAGGCAATGCAATATCATTTAATGAATATAATTTTTCTTTAAAAAAAATACAATACTAGTTTTCATTTTCTTCAAAACAACTAAACCATTTATTATATATTATATATCATAATCGTTATTATCAAATGAATGAACCATCAACACCTTCGTCGCCTTCTTGTTCGTTGTTATCAACAGTATCAACGACATCAACAGCAGTGACTACACCAACAAATCCGATTAATGATGATGATGAAGACGTTGATGATAACAATAACGAAGATTTAGATAAAGATGGTAGACATCGTGCATTCATAGTAGCATTCGTAGTACGTGAAGTGTGTATGATATCTAATCGAAAGTTTGCTTCGCAAATGATTTCAAAAAATAAATTATTAACTGCTTCTGAAAAGACTATGTTGTTAGAAATTTTTGATGGAAAATCTTTGGTAATTATTATTGCTATCTATTTTGATGATATATCTATTTTGATTATTAAAACTAATTAATTGGATGGTTTTTTTGTTTTTTTTTTAAAAAAAAGGAATGAAGATGGGTGAAAATAAAGGAGAATTCATTAATAGTGTAGTTATTCCTTTGTTTGTAAATATTGTTTCAACCTTTTTTTATATACATACATGTATTACATAAAAACAATAGCATTAATTAATTTATGTTTTGATGCAAATAATTGTCAGAAAAATAGATTTTATTATAAAATAAAATAAAAAAGCTTTGTACGGACAGTTTTATGAAGCAAATGATGATTATGTTTTTTTTTCATAATCTATTCACTTGTAGCCATTATTATTACCTGCCCAATCAAAGTTGATCAAATATGTAAAATATTATTTATTATTTGATCTGCAATCATATTGAGATTTTTGTCAGACCCAACATCTCACTTGATATATGGCACATCTCTTAATTAGGTTTCTAACATTAGCCTCTCTCCTATTTTAGCAAGCAAGATCTTTGATATTGCTCAAAGGTTTGCCTACGTGTGAATTAGAAAGAGATATTGTCAAGCATGACCAAGTTTTTGAATTGTGTGTGTGTGTGTGTGGATACTTACCATTGACTGCTTCCATAATGGCTATTTTCCATACAAATACAATATCGTTCTGATCCATTTTCTTTAGCACGTGTGCATTAGAATTATATTGTGACGATAATTTTCTGTTTTTTTGATTGTTGTTGCGGCCAAAACAAGGATAAAATATAAGTAAAAGATTGTCGTTATGACTTGATGGCATAATAATTAACAAGACTTCTAAATTGATATAATGTAGCAATCTGTGTTAAGATGCATGTGATACATTGTAGGATCATGTCTATGAAGGGGGATGGGGTCTGTTTTCACAGAATCTGCAAAGTCGTACACCTTACACCTAAAGAAACGTTAGCACATTCACTGAATAGAATAGTCAACCAAACAGACTACTGCAACTAAAAAATAGATATCTAGAGTCAAAAAAATCCGGCTATAAGGATTCGTTATCTAAAATGTCCATTGCTGTAAAATTCAAAAGTGACATTCGGAACTTCTTTGCACATTTCCTGATCCACATCCAATAGTTAAACAACCCTTGATAAAATTTCATACTCTTTTGTAAATTGTTGACCTTGTCAATGTTACTGGAAACAAGCAATAGCTTCTTTTGTATAGTTTCCACATCCAGACCATTCCTTCCCATTCACGTTTGACTCGCTAACACAAGCCAGTTCACAATTTTTAAATTTAACTTGTAGCTTTATATATATATATAACATTGACAGGTGGAAAAATAATCTCTTTGAGAAATTTAACTATTTGTTAATTAATTAACAAATTAGAGAAGCAATCCAATTAATGAATGAATCATATATCATGGTTTTTAATTTTTAAAATAAAATGAATATATATTCCTCGTTTGTTTGTTGCTCAAATTTGGAAGTTTTGACTAAAAACCCGTTTTTCAATTGACCTACGTTTTTAAATAATTCTTTTTGTGAGATCTTGAGTAATTAACAAAATGAACTCCGAAATTATATTCAATTATCTCTTTTTTATTCTCATTCCAAGATTCAAAATAGTAATGTTATTATTCTGTATGACATTACACAAAAATAACAAAAAAATTCATTTGTTGTTATAAAGAATCATGCATGGTATATGTAAGCTGTCTGTTGAATTACATAATTTCAATAATATTAGAACCTTATTTTTGTATTTTTGCAAATAATCGTGTGATATAAACTATTGGGTATTGGCGAAGGTGGTGTAAGAGTGGTGTGGAGTAAGGGGAAAGAGGAGAGTGGATAGAAAATGTAACGAAAACTATTTCTGCGCCATACTTTCAAATAATAATAATCTAATTAGGTGTTCCGTTCCTGTTTCTTGTTCCTTGATACACGATCAAATCTAATTTTTATTGGCTGATAAAAAATAAATAATAAAACAAAGAAAACGAGAATATCAAAAATAGTTGTACAACGATAAATTATCCATAAGTAACTTCTGCTAATAATGACAATGGCAAAGTATTTACTCAATTCATATGATAGCTTCTTCTACTAATAATGACAAACAATAATAACAAAGTATTTATCAAGTTCGAAGGGCAATTCGTCTTCATCAAAACTTTCATCAAATTCATCTGAACCAATCACTTCTTGAATAGATTTAGAAACAATACCTCAGAAGTTGGCATTTTTAGAAAAACGTGTAAATTTTATTATTATACAGGTCCGTACCAAAGATAGATATTAATATGGAAAATTTTCTTTCAATTACCTAATAAATATTGTATAACAAGGAACAGAAAACAGTAATGGAACAATTTTGAACATCCCTAATGATAAAGCTTCCAGACCTGTCGATCAATTTCTATAAGCATTCATTCATAAATCTCCAAGACCTGGGGGCAAATTTCAAAAATGGCAACCAACCATGTGCAGAACAGAGACGGTCAGAGATTGACGGGAGTAATAGCTTTTTTAAAAGGAAGGTGGATCAAAATAAATTAGACACAAATGCATGGACAAGTGCTTGCTGTTAATCACATCAGGTATACACATACTGCAAATCATTGTTGGCAATATTAGATGACCGATAATTGTTCTAATATTAAAAAGATATGGAATTAGTTGCTCATAATATATTTTGGCGACCTTGTTCCACACTCTACAAAAGTGATAGATAAAGGCTTATTGGCAATAAAATTTTAGTCAAAAGAACAAAAAGACTGATAGGTTTTTTCCTCCACCCTAAGCAGAATGAACGTTTGAAAAATATTTAAATTATTCAAATACAAACGAATAGACATTCTGATGCGGTAATTTTACATGTTCCAACTCGTTGAAATTCTAGCTATATTTCTTGGACAAGACTTATAAAAATCAAGATTTATTTCATTGTTAGCAAGTTCCATGGAGTCTAATTATGATGTCCTAAAAGATTGAAAGAGATTCTTTTAAGTGTGAGTTTTGAAGGAATTGGTCAAGGTTCTAAAACCATTTGAAGAAGCAACTGCATACCTTGGTGGGGTAGAAGTACATATTTAGTATAACACATCCGTTGATACAAGAAATATTCCATAATAGACGATGTTTTTAATGATGGGTTGGTTTATCAAAGGAATGGAAAATGCTAAACAAAAATGATTAAATTTAAATCAGCCGATGCAAATCGAAAGCGCACTCACTATAGGTGTAGTTAATAGAATTTATATAATGCAATGAACTTTTATTGGATGTTTGAAAATAAAGATATATATGATTGCTGTTATGTAGAAAACAATTGAATTTTTGTTAAAGGTAAATAAATATAAAGAATTTTAGATATTGAATTTTTTATTGAATGTAATTGTAGTCCTTTTGATTGGTGGAATTACAAAATACAAGTGCCCTCTTTTCGCAAAATTGTTCGTTAATACCTTTCTGTCTCAGCAACTTCAATACCAAATGATGGGATTTATTAACTGCGAGAAATTACTGGACGACGGATTAATTTTAGAGGTAAATGACGGATGAATGGATGGTGGATTGCATCATTAGTGCAGAAATAGTGGTTATAGACTTCGTGTACCATCATGTGAGTAGTGGTAATGGGAGCAGAAGAAGTAGTATATGTAGTAGAGATGTAGCAGCAGATGTAGTGAAAACATATGATTTATTGTCGTTGATAAAAGTTATTGATGTTGAAGTTATTATTATTATATTTTGCAAGTTTTTTCGTGAATAATTTTTCGCGCTTTATTTATGCTAATAAGACAGAATGGAACCATGAATGTTAAGAAAATTGCAAAATCTCAAAACAATAAATTTTGTATTTGAACCTTGACTTGTAATAGAAATCTATCCAAGATAAACTTAGCGATCCGGCTATAAATGAGTGAACACGACATTTATTTGGTCTGTGGCATCCATAGTAATCTTTTTCTTTAAATAACATCTTTTGAGATTTTTTCTATCTGCATATAAAAAAAGGTTTCATGTAATGGAAAAAAAGCATATTACAACTTTTCATGCAAAGGTACTCGATTAATGATTTTTGTAGAAAATAATTTCTAAATTTGGTTAATACAATTTCCAGCTCTCCCAATTTATTGTTGTTTATATTGTGATGATGGTGGAAATTGTTGGATCATTCCTTGTAATTTATTTCATATTTTTTTAGGATTGTTTACAGTTGATTCCACCGCAAGGGTTCGTCGTATTTGGTTGTTATATTATTCTCTCCACGAGTAGTTATTTTTGCATCGATTTGTGCAGGAAATGAGCTATAATTTTTGAATTAGTGTTCGATTCCAATCTGTGAATATTCCTGTGAACATTTCCCTCGAAATTATTTGAGTGGGATATGCGATTAATGTATTCAAACCGGCAGAAAGAAAGTTCAGCCTTGCACTGAAATTCATATTACATAAGGAGATTATTAACTCGTAAACACTATATTTCACCAATTTCAATTCAACCAATATAAAATTTAATAATTTTATTAATAAATAATTTATATCTTCATTCTACTTAGAATATAATTGCTACTAATACTTCCAAGAGTAGTGTTATTCTTATTATTGATAGTTTCTTTACCTTTCTTTTCAACAATTTGAAACACTTCATATTCATCGATGGAAAAACCATCTTCCGAAGATCGAATACTAGATTCATAACTGTGTTGAATACAACAAGATGCACTATTTTCCTTGAAATTTTCACCTGCCAATTTCAAATCACCTTTCAACCCACCTCCAAAACATGGTCCGTAATACATGCTTTGAAAAATTGCACATTCATAATTCGTCACTCTACTAAGAATCGGATCAAATTTAAATACTTTATCACCCAACGAAAAAATAAAACTTTTTGTAGTTTTACTATAGTTGGTTAGTATGTTCGAGTACCAATTTTTTGGGCTATATCCGCCTAAAATTTCACCGGTACTCTCAACTCTGAGCACTATGAGTGTTGGTCCTTTTACATCGCATAAAGAATGAAATTTTTTTAGGGTGAACCCGTCTCTACTACCACGCAACAACAATTTCAAATTATACTTGTTGACATAATCGCTATCAACCCAACCCATAATTAAATGTAAATCCGATGGAGTTGCAAGCTGTGAATCAAAGATATCATTATCATCGCCATTATTTGAATAGATACTAGATGTAAAGTATAAATCTGGTAAATTTTTTTTTAAATCATCACTTTCTGGCAAAAAATGATAATTGTAAATTTCTTTATAAAAATCTGGTATAGCAGCATCCAAACTTTTCATCCAAGGTCTCACATTTTCGACTATTTCGTCAGCAGACATTTTTGTAAATGGTATTAGTGGTAGGAATGGCTTTAATGAATTACCCAGTAATTTGAAATCATTTTCTGACCAATCAGAATTCAATGATGATGATGACGATGGTGGCAGGCAACTATTACTAGGTTGTGCTAAACCCCATTCTAAAATATGTTTCCACAATACAATCGGTTTTAGGTTGAAATTATGATATTTAAGAAAACAAAATAATGTTTTGTCTTCCATTTTAACAAAATCACTCGAGTCAAAAATTGTTGCAGGATTTTCCTTTATAATTTCAATCACGCATTTTCTTATTTTCGGATATCTTTCCTCTTCTGATGCAAAACGATGTACTCGAACAAAATGTGATAATAATCTCCATGGATTTTCTATCAAATAGTCTTGTATATATTCTGATAATTCGTCCATGCAAAATTCATCTGTTGCTCTAAGAATATCAAGAATAACTGATGCATCATGCTCTGCAAGACACAATTTACCTCCATAAATATATCTATAATTATTAAATATAGAATTAGAAAATTTTGAAATATTAACTAATATCACACGCATACATACACATGTACATTTAATTAAACATTAATATACTTGAAACTTGCTTTAAAATCACTTCAAATACTTCAGATGATATATTGGGTTTATTAAAAATCATTTTATCATCATCTTGTTTAGAAACCCATTCTTTAGATAAAGCAGCACGAAAATATGGTGACCTAGTATGTAGAATGAGTGAGTGTGCATTAAATTTTTTTAAATTAGGTTCTTTACCGACATTAATGATAACATCAAAACATTTTTCCGATTCAAGTAAATTTAAATAATCTTGAGAAAGTGAGGATAAGATTTTTGATTCCATTTATTTTATTTATAAATAAAATAAAATATATACATTTAAAATAAAAATTTTTTTTTTTGAATAAATGAGTTTGTAACTTTGATTTTATTGGCCAAAAATTTTAATTAAATCAAAAAAAGATTATCACAAAAAAAACTTGTTTATTTTAACCAACAACAATGACACATAATTTTGTCTTTCACTACCTTTTTTATCAATGACGAATAGCACTAGACCTTAAAATAGGCCGTGGTATAAAACCTTTAGCTTATTTTAAAAAAACTATATGATGATCATCTAAATAGAGAGTGATTTTATTTGCACCGAAGAGAACGTGTTTGTTTACCTTCTTCTAATAAATAATTAGAATAGTAATGACACACGATAACATTGAAAATTATCTAATAAATGTTAAAATGTCAAACCGCTTAAGAAAAAAAATGACATGTATGCATATCGAGTAAGTTTTTCTGTTGTAACTTATAATCATAATAGTTTATATAGATGTGAGAAAATTTGGACAAATGACAAGGATTTAAGTACTGGCATGACTAAGACTCGGATTCAATACATTTGGGCAGCAGCTATCCACATATTCAATGAAGCAGATTTTGACATGGATACAAAAATATTTGGAACATCTTGATCACTTTTTTGACTTTCCTCGAAGCATAAAAATTTAGATTAGAAGATATAACAGTCCTGTCATGTGATTATTTTAGATAGAAAAAATAGTAGATCATAGCGAATTAAGGTATTCGCCCAAGCCCAAGAATATAACGAAGTTAACAACAACTAACACACTAAGTTAGGATTAGAAATTCCAAATTTTCTTAATTGACGCTTATGAGAATACCTTAGAAACATTATTCCATTCCATTACAAAGAGTAACATATAGTAATTAAGTTAACAAAACATTATACAAACTCCACAAGCTCCTAATTCCGCTTTCACAAAAATCAAGCTACAACATCTTTAACGAGATAATAACTGATAAGTCATATTGCTACTTCTATCCAACTCGTATAATCGAAGAGTTGAATGAATTTCTAAACAAAGTAATTCCACATGACAAATAGAGGCTCTTACAACAACAATGAAAAGATGGGGATATTTAAATTCCAAGCTATCTAATAATTGAGTGATAACTCTTGTAAACAACGAAATTTTAAGGTTAATAATCAAATAAATAAAAATCACAGAAAGAACAAGAACCTGAACAAAGGAAATCTTCACATTTTCGAGAATTGTGGGAAAAATTTATTAAACTGGTATATACATAATAATACATTCTTGATACCACAACTCCCACCACCATCACCACATACACTTGCATTAACACGGCGACAGTCACGTCAACACGCCCAAATATCATGAAGAATGCATCAATTACAGGAAGATCAACAATTCACAACGCCGACAATTACAACCAACACGAACACCAGCACCAATTACATCAACGTTTATAACAACAACAATTACAACGTCGAGAACAACAATATAACTTCACATTGAATTTTTATTTTTTACTAAAAAATAAGAATGATTGGGATGCTAAAACTCGCATAACTTATGAAAAGAATTTTCGGTATAAATGCACATCATTGTGCTCTATGGGTATCACCAATTCAAACCATATACGATCATTACTCCAGACAACCCCAAGGAAATAAAAAACAATAAGTTTTTCATGTAAGGTTGGGAGTCCCAAAGAAAAATTATTTGATGAATTTATGAACAATTGGAGAGGAATTGTGCCTTTTACAATCAAAGCACAGCAACAAAATTCCACTCCATAAAGCATGTAATTTGTTTGTTAGAAATCCAAACCAAGATGCCAAAATCAAATGTAAACCAGATTTTTATCATCCATTTTTATCAATGCTTCATATTTTACAATAAAATAGATTTATGTTTATTCATTGAATTGGGATCTAAAGAAGTGATTAAATCAATATAAATCAGGGTTGGCAAATTGACCGGTCCATTGAGAACAGATGGATTTTGGACTGGTCCATTGCCATTAATAAAATACTAAATATGGTTAAAGTGTTACACCAATGAACCCAATGGACCACCAATAGACCATCAATGGACCACACATTTGCCAACCCTGATATAAATACAAGGTGTTTTTACCAAGCTATGTGTTAATAAATAAATAAAAATAAAAATGCCTCAAAACAAACACAAATAAAATTATACATACAAAACGTAATCAAACACTTTAAATCATACACACAAAACATTGATCAAACAATTATTTTTTGAAATATAAAACTTACAATGCCTCTTAAAAAACAAAATATTCATTTAAAAAAAGCAAGAGGCTCACGGAATTTTGATTCTTTGAACTTTGATGTAAATAGCAATAATGAAATAATTTACGACTCTGAAAACAATAATTGATTCAGATGAAACTGAATCACCATCATCTGACACATCTGACAATAATGTTGTTTGACGGAATGTTCCCAAAGTTGTAAAAATATTACGTCAAATTCGCTGCCATTAATTAAGTCAAAGATGACGCTAATAAAATATAAAAGCTCACAAAAAAAACTTATAAATATATATATTCCAGGTCTCTTTTATATTTCTTGTGTATCCCAATTTCTCTTTTGTTTCATCAGGAGACAAGTAAGTTTTTCTTTTGCTGAATACAATTCAGTTCCCACACATTCATTTACTACTAAACTCGAGCATTTCTTATATTAATATTAATAATTTCCTTTATGTTTCAGGGTCAATTAATTTTAGTGTATAGTAATTATTATCAAATGAAAATTTTACGCGAAGGCTTTTTATAATATCAATATTGATTGGTCAAGTTACTTTGCAATAATAAACCATCTTCATCTTTATCCTTATTGTAGTGATCAACGAAGAACAAATTCTGGTCCTTGAGAGGATAATTAACATTCTGATAAAATAAAACTCTGCGATAGAATCATTATTTTTTATTAAACATTAATAAGCTTTTAAAATAAAAACATTGTTTTTATTTTTTGTTTAAAGCGTTTTGATAAAAGAAACAAGTGTAGTTCCTTGGCAAAAGGTAACAATTATGGAGTTGTTTGCTTTGGTGAGTAAACAAGGTTAGGATTAAAATTGGTTAACGTTAACTAATGGATGTTAACAGCGATTAGTAACGTGATTTGCTTTAGTGAGTAAGCAAAGGTTAGGATAACAGTGGGTGTTAATGAAGTATTGTCCAAAGGTTAATCGAAATACTGGTAGTGTTATGTAATCGTAATCATAAGGCTGTTAAACAAGCTACTTGAGTTGTTTTGCAAATAGACCAAAGCAAGTTTGCAATTGATCAATAAATGTGAACGACTGAAATAAATCGAAGTCCTTGAGCTTTGTAAAAGGCCATCTTTATTTATTTGCAGTTATCTGGGCCATTAAGTGTGCTCACAGATTCGTCTAGGTGGAAGAAAGAGTAAATTCGTAAACTAATTAATTGATGAGCACCAAATTATTGCGAGTTGTCTGATAATCAGCCATACTTGTTAAATAATCAGTATCAACTGAAATGATACCTTGCAATATCACTATTTAACAAAAATCAAAAAATTTATTATTTAGCTTTAAGAAATAAAATAAATTAAAAAGACAAATAATTATAACAAATAATTTAGGA